GCCTGATCTCACACACACACACACACACACCCACACACCCACACAGACACACACACACACACACACACTCACATAGACACACACACACACACACACACACACACACAGACTCACTCACATTAAAGTACAATTCTCACTTAAAATTAAAGAGTAAAGATAAATATAAATATTTAGTAAATATTTCATTTAGTTCTCTTACTAATTAAAGGCAACGTTCGAAAGACTTTAATGTTTATTGCGATGTCTTTTTAAATAAGCATAATCTGTTCTGTTTAGTGCTGTCAATCCATTAAAAATAACTAATTAACCGCATTGCTTTTTAAACCCACCTAACATTAAAGTTTTTTAATATACTTTTATATTGCAATGATTTTACATTCAAACTTCAAATTAATGTAGAAACAGCATAAAGACAGTATATTTTTAATGGCATTTTTTTATGACTGAAGGCGAGGATCACTGATACCAATACTACTGATGTCTCTAGGAAATTATTTTTTCCTAATATTTAACCATTGACTATAGCCATTGAACATTACAGTATAATTGAGAGCTATCAATTTTAACATTTAGTAGACTTTAAAAAATAACATCTAATTTAAGTGAACTTAAAACAATCTTCACATAAACCCATTATAATAAATGTCATATTTAGCTACCCGAGCCCTTCAGCAAATAGGAAATATACAGAAATTGAATAAAGTTATCACACACTAAATTCTAAATTAAATGTAGAAGAATCCTTAAAGCTACAAAAGTTATTGATTTCCTCTTTTTCTTTTGTTCTTTGATGAACAGACATCACAGCAGCTGGTTATTAGGTTATTTGGCTGCTATTACTTTAAGAGCTGCCGCTGCTGAACGTGACACAGATCTGACACGCATGCTCGTAGTTTCATTCACACTTTAATATGAAATGATACAGGCTACAGCGTGCACCGCCGTATTTGTGCATGCAATTGAAGAGCATGCGCTTTGACATCACTCTTCTTTTATTTTCTAATTTTGTTATTTTCCTGTTAATTTCTGTGAAGCTGCAACAGTTTTTTTTTCTTTGTGAATGTTGTTGTTGTTTTTTTAAACAGGTTTAAACTGGAAACCATGATTTTCCATTAGAATTGTTTGATTAGACTTGTTTGACTGTGTACTGATAAATAAAATAAAAAATCACTCCTGATCAAGATTCTCGCTCAGACAGCATCCGTGATCATTACAGCCGCTGGAGCAGTTCCTTTACTCACAGGAAACCATAGCATTTACACAGACCGTAGAAATGAAGCATGTCAGTCGGTGTTACCTGACGTTGTCGTGCCGCTGGATGTAGATCTTGTGGAAGATCCTCTCTGGGGGTTTCAGGAAGTCCTCCTTCATCTCCATGGCCACGTTTCTGGGCAGCAGACTCATCAGCAGACGCTCCTGCACACGTGCAACCATCATCATCATCATCATCATCATCATCATCAGAGACACATGAGACAGCAAGAGCATCATCGTCCTTTTTCTCATGCTGAACAACAATATTTAATGTATCTGCATTACTGTTAGGGTAGGTTTAGGGTAGGGGTAGGTGTAGACGTTAATAAACCATAATTTTACAGGTAGCATTTTTCGTTGTCGAATTGTACTACCCGCTGTTTTAATGGGAGGTAGCAAAATCTGACAGAACACCGGTTTACCAGAACTAGATCAGATTCATTGGTTCCATTGGCATCACTCAGTTAGAATCACATAACTCTTGTAAGTAATTAACTGAAAAATGTGTTTATGCTAATTAAGTTCCTCTAACTTGGTTGGAATATTTCATTAGTTGTCGTAACTCAAAAAGATTGATGAAAACTGTTGCATGGTTTTTTTTTATGAAACAGTGTTTTTAGAGTGCAATTCTATGTATTTACAGTGAGGTTTTGATTGTGTTTATTGTGTATCTGACTGTGACCTGTTTCTCGTTCTCGTCCTCCATGCGCAGTTTCTCCTCGAGGCAGTCTCGGGCCTGCAGGAAGGCTTTGCGCTGCGCTCTCTCCATCAGGATCCGAACAAACAGACCCGACAGATTCACTCCGGTGAAGAGCAGCGTGTTCGCAACCAGCTGGAAAACACACAAACACTACAGCTGAAACCACACACTGAACCATAACACATGCTCACAGGATATAAACTTCTGAGTGACTGGCTCAATATAAATGATGAGCATAGATCGCTGCTGTCTGTACGGCTATAGTACACGCTAAAAAATGCTGGGTTAAAAACAAACCCAGCTACTGGTTGGGTTAAATGTTTGACCAACCTGCTGGGTACATTTACTCACACAACTTTGGGACTGGATTTTGTTTATAAACGTGAATCTGTCGCCTGCACCACTGCAGCATTAAAAATGTATCACTCTTTGCCTGAAAGTGAAAGTTTATGCAAGTAAAATGAATTTATTTTGTTTGAAAACTTTTCATATATTCATATATATATATCATATATTTATGTTGTTTTGATGTTGTTTGAGAAAAAAAAAAAAAGTTAAATAAAAACCATTATGCTTGAGTAACCTGGTGTCTGTATGTGTGAGTCTGATCGCTGTCCAGTGCTGAAAATTGTACACAGTTTTGAATGCACTATGAGGGTTAGATGAAAAGCAATCCATTAAGAGCCGGGGGTGAAAACTTTTTGAATTTGAAGATCAGGGTAAATTTCACTTATTTTGTCTTCTGGGAAACATGTAAGTATCTTATGTAGCTTCTGAAGGGCAGTACTAAATGAAAAAATATGATATCTAGTCAAAATAATACACATCTTCAGGTGGGAAGTCGTGGCCTAATGGTTAGAGAGTCGGACTCGTAACCCAAAGGTTGTGGGTTTGAGTCTCGTACCGGCAGGGATTGTAGGTGGGGGGAGTGAATGTACAGCGCTCTCTCCCACCTTCAATACCACGACTGAGGGGCCCTTGAGCCGAACCCCCAACTGCTCCCCGGGCGCCGCAGCATAAATGGCTGCCCACTGCTC